TTTTTGTCCCGCAAGGGCCTTGTCAGGGAACAAAATACTCCCCGGCGTTTGAGCTGCAAGGGTCTCGGGAGGTGCGGGGCTGCGACACTCAGCGCGGCCTGCCACACTTATCTCGACATGCCACGCTTGCCCGCAGAGGCTCTGTCTGCAGTGAGGCCTTCATATTTCCAGTTAGGCTTGTCTGGGAGATTTCTCAAACACTTCAGGGCTGAAATCTAACAACAGGCTGTTTCCCAACACTTTGCAGCCCTCCTCCCCTGCTTCACCCCCTGCCTCCAACCCAGGCCCTTCCCCAGGCCTGATTCTGCCTGCCCTGGTGCTGCTGTGAACCAGCCCCAAGTGCGCTGGGTGGGAGGTACAGCCGGGTCAACCTGATACGAGCCTGTGTGAGGAATGAGCTCCGACCCTTTGCAGAACCGTTTCCCATCCCTCCCTGTACCTGTCTGGGATTTTGCCTGTCAACATTCCCACCAGTTCCATATAGGCTGGCCTTTCTCAGCAGGGATCTGACTTGGGATGTCACCAGCCTCTTCAGATAGGTGCTGTGTAACAAGGATTTGTGGCATCTCACTCATTTCACGACCTGGATCCTTGTTCTGCACTGGTCTGTTGTATCGTTGTCTTTGTTCCCATAGTCGGGAGCACAGCATCAAGGACTCTGTTTCCAAGAGGGACCTTGGGTTTTATCCAAGGTCTCATTCCCTAGCGTGGGAGAGGATGCTTAGGGCTCCCATACCTTCGTGAGGAAGGGAAGTATGGGTTCATACACTGTGCAGCATGGGTGGCAAGTTGGTCGAGGTGAAGGTGTCTCAGATCTCCTGTGCGTTACGCCCCAGATGTCTGTGCCAGCCTCCAGCAGAGCCCATAAGCCCACGCCTGCTGCAATTGCTCCTTTAGGTTCAGAGCAGGGCGTGTTGTGCAGTGCACACTCCTGGGGGGATGGACGTGATTTAGGTTGTGTCTGTTTTCTCTTGAAGATAGGTAGGTCTGTGGTCCAATGTGGTTCAGGTGTGATCCACATTCCCCTGACTGCTGTCCATGCACGCCGTGGCTCTGTTCTGGGTGATCTCCAGGAGATGTGCGTGTCGGGGGTGTGTATAGGTGTGCGGAGCTGTGCTCTTCAGTTCTGCCTTTTTCAACCATTTTAGTCTGAAGGGACAATATCCTGCACTATTTCATCAAAAGGCCAAGCCAGGCCCTAAACTTACTTTTTCTCCCTGCCCACCTAGGTATTAGCCAGGTTTTCTACAAGGGGAGATAGATGTAGGTGAAACGCAGGACTTGGCAGGTGGAAGGAAAAAGAACCGATTCTTTAAGACTGGCTTTACAATGGGTATGTCTGGAAATTTCAGTAGAGGTCATATATTCTGTTAATGAGTTGGGCTTTCACAGAGCTATTTAAAAAGAAAAGAAGCAGTTAATCTTGGAGTATGTATATCTGGGCTCCACACCTAAATGGGTTACCGTTCAGAAAAAGTTCAGCATTTATTATTTCTAGCACATCCAGCAGCTTTATTCATGTGTCTGTACTCCAGAGGGCCATCACGGCAGGAGCCCAAGGCAACAGACAGTCCTTCTTCTAAGGGGTTTTATGGTTTCTCTGAGTTGGGTACTTGTGACAGTCCTAGTAGATGCTGTGTGTGGGTTAGACTCACTAAATACCTGTGTAAATCAGGTCCTTGGGGAATTCAAATGTGTATTTGTTGTAGATGTTGATTAAAGTGGAAACCCTGTATTAATGCTAAGTTTTTGGAGAATTTTGTCTTGTCTAATATGACTGTGGATGTGCTCATTACCCATGGAAATCTCTGCCTTTTCACATAATAGAAAACTGATCTCTGGAGCTTACTGCCATAAGACAAAACAATTCATCTATCTGGACAATAGCACTGTAAAAACCAAATTGCATAAAAAAAACCTCTGTAAGGGACATAAAGTGAATAAGGCTAATGTGATCAGGAAGAAACCCTCTTATGCTTGGGCTACCCACTGCTGTGAGCTGCTGCTGAGCCATGAAACTGTCTGCTCTAGGGGGCTCAGCTCTGCCCCAGGGAGAAAGTTTCTGCTCTTCTGTCCATGACCACTATTAGGAGACCAGAGGGTTTCTAGAGGACAACACACGGCAAGACATTTCTTCTCTGATGGCTCCATCTCACCAGAAATTGGCTGCAATGTCGTAGCAATCTGGACTCTTAGGGGCACCTTTTGTTCAGGTTGCTCAGTGCTGAGCACATGCTTACAGTGACCCAGAAGAAACCAAAGGGGAAAACTCACAAGAAGAAAAGGGGGGAGAGAGAATGAAGAACGTAAATCACTTCAAGGCAACATCAAACTCCAGCCAGTTTGGGTTTTTAAGGCCATTAGTTCAGCACAGCCCACAGAGTAGGTGTGGGGAACGTGAGCTGGTAGTTTGGAGATGCAGTCATGCAGGGCTTTCACTCTTGGCTCTGATGTTCCCGCAAGCGAAATGGTAGCATTTCTGGCATCTCCGTGCTTGCAACACATTTCATTGTTCCACTTATTCACACACAGCAGCAGAGACAAAGTGCAGTAGGATGTCATGGCTAATTTCAGCCACTTTACTGAAATGCCTGAGTTGGGTGTGTGGTTGTCCTGTGTTCAACGCAAAAAGTGTATCCACCTTCTCTGCGAGCCTGTCTCTCCTTTGAATGCAGGGGCCACTTAATCACCTTTGTTAGACTGTTACAGACAAACGCAGTGCTTCCAGGCCAGGGAGAGGAAAAAACTTGATTAAGACAAATGAAAGAACCAGGTTCCCAGGTCTCGCTTCCAACCAGTAGCTTCGTTGTACAACAGGGAGGATTTTTTAAGTCAAAGTCATTGCCAAATCCAGATTGAACTGAATGATTCAGGATAAAAAATAAAAATAGGGGAAAACTCCAGACATACTCAAATGTTTTGTTTGAACATTTTCTAAGTGAAATAAGTTTTTATTTCAAGACATAACTTTTGCTCTGAAATAGTCTTTTTTTATTTGTATGTCTTGGAGAGAAAGGTCAAACCTGAACTGTAGCAGATAATCTAAACCAAAATGTTTCCTTCTGCATTGAACAGAAAGTCAATTTTTTTTCATGTGTCTTTTCTTTTTTCCTTTCCAGTATTTTAATTCAGTCATTAAGCAATCCCTCCTCAGCCACCTCCCCAGACCCCATTGTTTGCAGACTTCTCTGTTTTCCTATCTAAGAATATTCATAACACTGTGATAGGAGACAGTCCTGCTTTGGCTGGCTTCTGTTGGATCAAGTGATCCTTAAACTCCTATTGTTTTCTGTAGTTTATAAACTTCTTTAGTTTCCAATTATTTGAAGTCCTTTGCTTTTAACTTTTTGGACTATCTATTCTCTTTGTAACCTCCACATTTGCATAATTGTAGATTCAGATTATTCACCGGTTGGTTATTTAACTCTTAAGTCAGCAAGGCCATGGCTCGATGAAGAGTCATTGCCCTATTCTACCTGGAGGGTCAGGTTTTCTGGGAATGAAGTCAAAAGCAAGGAGAGAAGGCTCTCTAAACCCTGATTTGGTGATGAGCGTTGGCTATTTAATGTCTCTGTCAGCATGTCCCTGCCTTAGACTCCCCAGTTGTGAAATAAAGATCCACACCCCTCCATCCCGTTCTTGTGTGCGTCAGGAGAAAGGCATGCTGGAGCTGGGCATGCAGGGACATGTAGGGAAGGTCTAGGTGGAAATGACAGCTGTGTGTTCATGCACAGTGCTTGGTCCACGTTCCTAGATGTGCTGTCGATGATAGGTAGGGAACAGGCAGACCCAGGCCTCATAGCCTGGAGAAAAATGTTTATGAAAGAGAGAGCAAACGTGTGGCAGCAAAGCCAAGGGAAGCAGACGGAGTGCGCGCGTGCGGCCCTTGCCGGGAAAGTTTGAACAGGTTGAGGCACTGTCTTGGAAGGAGTGTAAAGGAAGGGAATGAGGTCATTTGCTCAGTCTGTGCAGATGGGAGAAATTCTTGGGAATTCACTTCAGGGAAAGTGAGACACTGTTCCACTGCCACCCCCTTTTCTTTATGTAAATACTATGATGCAATAGGCCAAAATCAACTTCCGCTAGCCGGGCACTGCAGACTATTGTTTCAGCTCCTTCCCACGCTTCTCCAGCAAGATCTTGGGCAGATGACAGACCATGCATGTAGCAGACTCGCCTGCATTCCTTTGCTGTTCCTCAGTGCCCGCTAGCTGCATCTCTTGACCTTAAACACAACAGCTATTTGGACAAGTCTCTGCTGGACTGCAGCTTCACCGATGTGCTAAGTAGTGCTTGGTTCAGTTCCTGAGGAATTGAAACCAAGACCATTCATAGTTAAATGCACAAATGGGCTTAGGCACGGCAGCAGCACCCAAGCCACAGATCCCTACTGCAAAATTATACCCTGCAGAGGGGAGATTACGTCCCAGGAGTAGGGTTCACCAAAACCCCAAAGCTGGAGGTGAGTAGGAGTGCTATGGGGAGGATGGAGTCGGGACCTGCTGGACCCAGTAGATTTTGGTGAGCATTTGCGTTGGTCATGTGAGAGGAGGGTTTTGTTACTTTGCTGTCGTTTACTGCTTGTAGCCTTTGGGGTAAGGATAGCTTTTCAGAAGAGGATGGCAATGTAATATGATCCAAGCATTGTGGTAAGTACCCCAAAAAGTCCCAGAGTTGCCTGGGAAGTACATGTCTCCCCAGCCAGCTGTGCTCATGTCTTTGATGCGAACTGTTAAGGCAGTATCTGCTGACCAGTAGCTCCATGAGTTGAACAGGTCCTTCTTTACACTTTTCACAGCCTTTCTTATGGACAGGTAGCTCACTTGAGGCCTCAGTGCACCACCAACTCAGCACTAAAATAAATCACTGTGAAAAAATAACGTAGCTGAAGACTGCAGCTGATCTCTGAAGATAGCACTTCAGAGGTCTCGTTTGTTCTCCAGGGTGCTGTAAGTGTGTTCCCTCCTTCATGTCTTTATGTCTCTGGTTTCCTTCCCCAGGTTACTCCCTTCCCTATGTCCTGTGACCTACAAGGAGAGTGTGCTTGCCGGGACCCCAACGCCCAAGAGCACAATCAGAAAGACCTCCGTGGCTTCAGTCTTGGGTAATGCCAAGCAACGTGGAATGGAGGACCACACTGCTCAAGGCAGGCTAGGAGAGACACCACATCCCTTTTGGTATTGTTTTTAACATTTAGCTGCTCAACTGGATGGCATTTCTGCACCAGGGACCCTTAGAATTCAACCAGTCTGCCTTTAATTTTTGTCCAAGGAGAACTCAAAAGTAGGGGTTTATGTATTAACTATATCTTAAATAGTGATGATGAGAAACAAACAACCAAGAGTCAAGTCGAGAAGACTTTCATGTATCAAAACAGCATGTTATGCCCACCTAATTTGAACAGTTCATATCTAGATTCAAGGCGAGAAACAAGCTATTTATGTACACATATTTATAGAAATAAGTAGAGAAAGAGAGAAAGAGTGAGAGATTATGATCAACGCAAAAACACTTTCCCCTCCCCAGCACTCAACTCAGACCGTTCATGGAAGAGGCTGTGCTCTTGGAGGACTCCAAGCTGAGCCTTTTCTGATGCTGAATGCCAAGGTATCGCATGCTCGGGGCACTGAGGTTGGGGTGGGATCTCCATGGGGCTGTGCCTCTTGGCAACTGACGCTTGCCAGACGCCCAGCCAGCTTGAGAAGTGGGATGCATCTGCTCCTCACAGGAATGCTACTTCCAGCCAGGAGCTCAGCAGACTGCAGTGGCCTTTCTGTACAGCTCCTCCTTCTCCCCCTGCCCTCAAAAAGCCAACAGAAAGTCCCCTTGTAACCTGCCTGCAAGCTGCAGGGCTGCTGGGACGTTTCTGTGTGGAGATGGGCAGGTGGTCCCATGGTGGAGTCAGGGAGTGGGGAGTCTTAAGGACTGGCATCGAGGAACATGGATGATTGCTTCTGAGGAGCAGAGAGGGTAACTCGCGCCCGCACTTGTCATTTGAGCATGTCTGCTGCTGCTACTCCTGCTGCTATGTCCCATACAACTAGTTCCCTTACTGTGTCAGGACAGGGTGAAAAACAACCCCATGCAACCAAACAGTCTGCCTTAAAGCTTACCTACAACCTGCCTTTCAAACCCTCTGGTCTCTTCCTCAGCATTGGGGCAAGAAAACAGGACACCAGCCAGCCAAAGGAATCTGCTTTCTGGTCTCCATCCAGCCAAGTGGTTCTCTAGACCTCCTCCACCCTCCTCTTGTACTGGTCTATGTCTAACAACCGCTGTATGCTCCTGTTTTCTCAGGAGAGGGCAAGAGGAGGAGGAGGCGCATGCTATGGGGAAAGGACCGCAGGAGACAGTATTAGCATTTTGGCCATATTTGTCAGTATTAAGCTGCCAGGCCAGTGAGTCAGACAATTTTGATAGACCAGGAGCTTAGCTGCTTGTAGTCTTCCAGAAGGAAGGGCATTAGCTGCAGCAGACCTCAACACTTCCCCACCATATAGCTCCATCCTCCTGTTTCATCCCAGAGGGGAACATGTTGTGCCAGACCCTTGGGGACTCATTTCATCATAGGGTCCATCCCGTTGAGTCACTGAGATGCCCAGCGCATCTAGTGCTGCCGCTGCTGCTACCACCCATCCCACAGAAATCCCAGAGAACTTTCCAGTGCAGCTTGGGCTTGTCTCCTGCTGCTTCAGGCTCCTTGCTACAAAGAACACACATCCAAAAGAGTGTCCTTCCAAGTGTTAAGTCTGTCTCTTCCTTGGGACTCTCCTGACTTGTACAATCTACTGGATAAAGACACCTTGGAAAGATTTTTTCCTACTCCTGCTTGATTGAACATTTAGGCACTCGAGAAAGGCAGAAGGTAAGGGAAGGGGTCATTTAGCTCATGGAGATGGATATAAAAATGGGTAGGAGAACTAGAAATGGAAAGCTGACAGAGTTGTAGGTGCAAGGAGCCAGGCTCTTGTCACCCACTGTTGGGGTTGTTTGTATCAGAATAAACCAGAGATGAATCTCAAGAACTAAAATGTAGAGGCCTGGAGAGGTGATTGTTGTAAGAAGGTGAGGAGCTCTCTGTTGTGAAGCTCCTGGCTGTTCCTGGAGAAGGCCTGGCCATGGGAGCTGTGCGGGCAGCTCTGCCCCCACCGTGCAGGGGTGTACAGGAAAGGGAGGTATGGTGGGATGAGGCTCCTGCCGTGGAGTTAGGCTGAACGTCCTCCAGTATAGAGAGCAGTGGGAAAAAGTGGGCCTGGGCAAAACTTCCGCTTTTGTCCCTTGCCATCTAATTAGCAATGGAAGTAAATAACTGTGATAAGGTTGCTTCCTTCTGGTCCTTTTGTCCTCCCCTTTTGTGTTGGCAGTTTATTCATGTGCCACCCAGCCCATCAGAAGAGCTCACAACCTCAAACGCCTTTCAGACTGCCAACGCATCATGTCCTCAATGCCTGGGGCGTCTTGGCATGGTCTCCCCCCTCCACCCCACCAGGCTTTCACCCTAGCAGGGAGCCTCAGTTCAGGTCTTGCATGCATCCTGATGGCAGCTCTGTTTGCAAAATCCCCTTCTCGGTTATGCAGCTCAGCGCAGAGAAGATTGTCCATCTGCTTTTCCCACCTAGGACATTGCCCTGGAGAGACAGGTCTCTATAAACATTATTGCCACTTGCTGCTGGGGGCTCCCGGGAGCTCAGGGCCTGCTGAGCTCCTCTGCCCAGCCAGGGCCAGCCTCTGCTCACCGAGTTGGAGTCCTTCTCAGCCCAAGGGAGATGGTGGCCTCTTGCTAGCACAGCCTCACACCTCACCTTCACTCCTGCAGTCCAGGGGTGACCCAAGTCCCTTTCCTGTGGGCAGGCTTTCCTTGCTGCTATTTGATTTTTTTTTTCCAACTCCCTTGTTGGCACTGTCCATCTCCTCCAACAGGGCTGACAGAATTGGGAGCAGAAGAAGGTCTGCTCTGAGTTATGTTAAATCCAATTGCTTTTTTTTTTTCCATTGGGAAAAGATTGCATTGGGGCAAAGCTTTGCCCTCTGCGTTTCAGGTGCCGTACCGTGCACCCAGGGGGATGTGGAGAGGGGAGCCGTGGGGCACAGACATCTGCTCGGCTCTTGTCCCCTGTGCTCCCACCCTGGGGCAAGGCCAGCTGGATGGCCTTGCAGCTTCTACCACTGTAAGGGCCTTGAGTGCCCAGTGGAGTCCCTAGGAAAGAGCCTCCATGACCGTGATGGCCATTGGGTGGGAGGTGAGGGGGTCATTACCCACCACCTCCACCCACCGAGCCAGTGGAGTAGGAAAATATT